ATTTTACTATAAAATGAATTGTTGGTAATTCTACAATAACTGTTTATTTGGTTTGTTTTATGGCATATCAACACCTCAATGGGTTATTTAATGCTGACAAGTTTTTTTTATTGCTAGTAATATCTTTTTCAAAAATGTGTTGGTAATATTTTTTCCAAAAATGTATTGCTGGTAATAGTTTTTTTTTAAATGTATTGCTGGTAATATTATTTTTTCAAAAACGTATTACTGCTATTTTTTTTTTTTTTTTTTCAAAAATGTATTGCTGCTATTTTTTTTTTTTCAAAAATGTATTGCTGGTAATATTTTTTTTTCAAAAATGTATTGCTGGTATTTAAACCTATTTTATACTTTCATTGTGTTTTGACCCTTTTGTGGGGGGGAACTATTTGCCCATAGCTGGGACCCTGACAGGTGCCACTACCCCAGATCAGGGTGGATGTGATATCACCAGCAATTCCACGCTCCTCAAAACCTCCTGATCAAAGGCCTTGCTGTCGGATGAAGTTGATCGTCTTAGCCAGGGCGCGGATGTAGTTTATCCTCATACCCAGGGCGCGGATGTAGTTTATCGTCTTACCCAGGGCGCGGATGTAGTTTATAGTTTTACCTAGGACGCGGATGTAGTTTATCGTCATACCCAGGGTGCGGATGTAGTTTATCGTCTTACCCAGGGCGCGGATGTAGTTTATCGTCTTACCCAGGGCGCGGATGTAGTTTATCGTCTTACACATGACGCTATAATTGTTGGTAATTTTACTATAAATAGGTATTGTCGGTAATGATTATTATATTCATGAAGAATATATTGCTGGTATTTTTACTATAAGAATGTATTGTTACACATTCAACATTTCTCGAGGAGGCACCTTGCCTTGAGAGAATTGTGAGCTTCAAACTCACCCCCGACCTCAAGTAGAATCCTTATATAGATCCATTGCTAAGGATGCAATTAAAATGATCGGCCTTTGTACCGCTCCAGTAAGAACCTGACTCCTCATGGTATCCTCTAACTTTTATAAAAGCCTGATCAGGCCGCAAATGGAGTACTATTTCCATATATGAGTCGGATGTGACGAGTCTCTCGCTGCTCTATCCTGCTTCCATGGAAAGTGCTCAGACGAACTACATTTCTTGGTTTCGCCAGGTTTAACGTTCACGGCTAGGACCCGCCATGCCATTTACATAGTAACAAACCACCCACATTATCCTCTGTATTCCATCACTCAAAAAACTTCTTCTCCTGAACCGCTGCCCTTGGGAACAGACTCTCGAAAAGACGTTTCCCCTAATCACTACAATCTTAACCTGTTCAAGTCTAGAGGAAACCGTTATCTTCCCATAAAATCTATATAAACTACCCTCTACCTCGAGTGGCTCTCGGGCCTTCTACAGAGTGAAACTTACTGTAAAAAGAAAACAAACAAGCTTTTGTAAATGGCTGGCAGAAAAGGGATAAGAAAGATAGCCAAAAACAATACATACTAAGTGCTACAAAGGGTAGGAAGTAGTAGAGAGCCACGATCGCCCACGTTCTGAAAGGACACGGCACAAAGAAGAAAAAGAAGAAGAAGGAGGAGGAGCTTGTGTAATTGTTGGCAGAACAGAGATTAGATGAGAAAGAAAAGGCTTAGTAGAGCTACAAAACATAGGTAGTAGTGGAGAGCCATCATCGCCCAAGTTCTAAAGGGACACGACATCGAGAAGAAGAAGAAGAAGAAGAAGGAGGTTGTATAAATTGTTGACAGAGCAGAGATTAGATGAGAAAAAAGCTTACTAAGTGTTACAAAATATAGGAAGTAGTGGTGAGCCATGATCGCTCACGTTCTGAAGGGACGTGAAACAAAGAAGAAGTTTGTGTAAATGATTGACAGAACAGACATTACATGAGAAAGAAAAAAGTTTACTGAGGGGCTACAAAACAGAAAGTAGTGGAGAGCCAAGATCGTCTCCGTTCTGAACAGACACAACATAAAGAAGAACGACATTGCGTAAATGGTTGAGAGGATAGAGATGAGATGAGAAAGAAATAAAGCTTACTAAGAGCTACAATGGATAGGAAGTAGTGGAGAGCCATGATCACCCACGTCTGAAGAGACACGGCACAGAGAAGAAGAAGAAGAAGAAGAAGAAGAAGAAGAAGAAAACTAACAATTATCAAATTACTGATTTTCCTGTTCCATCTGATTGAAAAATAATAGGATCTGACTAGAGAGTTGAAGAAACTATAGAATATGACCGCTAAAGTAATTCCTGTAGTAATGGGATCACTTGGAACAATACCTAGTTACATGAAAAGGCGTTTTGGGAAAATTGGAACTGATGCGAAGATTGTAGAAAACAGTCATCTTTTACTCTGCAAGGATTTTAGGAAAAGTTCATGTGTTGTGAGAAATCTTACTGACACCATAGCTCAAGGACTGCATTTCCACTGACTGCATCAATATGCAACACCAACATAATAATAAATAAATAAATAAAACAGAAATAGATCGGTTTGCCTCTCGTCCGGTTCACTCTCCTCCCTTGTCTTTTGAACAGGAGTAGATGTTTATCGCTCGTTTCCTGTTTAGGATTAGGTTTCCGGTACATTCTAAATTCTACTTCAGCTCTTTACTTTTATTTCCACTTAAAATCTGAAATTTTATTTACTATTAGCAGTAGAGCCCAGCGTTGCCCGGGGATGTAACAGCAAGAGATAGATCAAGTATCGACCATCATAAAGACTGAAAAATAAAATTGACAAAGATTATTGTTTAAGGTTGACGGACACGCAGGTCTTTTTAATTTTTTTTATTTTTGTTTTTTTTTTTTACAAATTGGTCAAACCCAAACTCAAACAAAAACATTGTTTTCAATCGTTATGAGTCTACCGATTGAATAGAATTTTTCAATTTTATTATAAACACTTGTCTTGTAAATGGAATTTTTAAAGCATTCTGAATGTAAAAATAAAGGAAAAAAAGTGTGCAAGACAATAAGAAACACTACCTGCCAAAAAAAAAGTGTAGTTTTGTTGAAATCAGTTGAAAAATGTAGGAAATCCGATCCCATATATAAACGAACACACACACACACACACACACACACACATACAAACAACTTGGGTTTTATAATAAGTATAACTCGAAATGAGTTGTCCTCCTTTCATTCTCGCGACAGCGATGCCTCTTAATCGTGTTTTCAAATTGATTTCGTGCAAAAACAATTGTTTTTCCAATTTTTGGCGCTGTCAGAACCACCGCAAGGTAATTTTATGTTGTCCTGTGAAGTTTTGTTGAAATCGGTTGAAAAATGTAGGAAATACGATCCAATATTTAAACGAAACACACACACACACACACACACACACACACACACACACACACACACACACACACACACACACACAACCTGGATTTATTTTTCCTCAATATCGTCCGGTTCACTCTCCCGGATCTTTTGAATAGGAATAGAGTTTTATCTCTCGTTTCCTGTTTAGGATTAGGTTTCCGGTACCTTCTAATGACTTTTCATTATCTTTCATTCTCAGTAGCCCCTTACGTCTTAGTGACATTAATGCCTTAATAATTAATTAATACCCCCTCCCACAAAAAACGTTGAATTGAAAGTCACACAATGCTATGAAGTAACTACAGGTCTTTGAGCGGAGTTCGAATTCAAGTCGAGTTCGTTAAATTCACTTACGCACAAATAGCTTTGAGAAAGATATGAACCCATATCCTGCACACAGCAATAGGTTAAAAAGTAGTTGTATCTGGACAAATCAATTTTACAGGAAAAAATATTCTTACAAGCAGAAAATATGTTTCGGCTTTAAATGAGCGACAAAGGGTTGATAAGCCGTAAAAATACAATCAACCAATCTATCTATAAGGAATGTCATTTTAATCATTAAAAAGTGCTTCATGCGTAATGGCAGAGTCGAAATTATTATTTTAATAAAAATGCCCGGCCGCGACTAGTAGTTTCTTCCGGATTGTATTGCGGCTTGACTATGCGTCGAGTTTGTGTGTTTTTTTTTTTGTTTTTTTTTTTGTTTTGTTTTGTTTTTGTTTTTGGGGGTTTTTTCATTAAAATTTGCATATATATATATATATATATATATATATATATATATATATATATATATATAAGTAAATCTAAAGAGCCAGACAAACCTACCTAGGTTTCACCTACGCGGATCGTCTGGCCATCTGGCTCCTTAGGTTTACTTAGTGTGCTCTACTTAGAGTATTGAGCACTTTGCTTATTTATTTTTACTTTACTCGTCTTTTTCTTTGGACTCTGAACTTAGATTCTAGACGATTATTTTCGCCGGATGTAGATGTTCTTAGTTCTTTCTTTTTTTTACCCTTTTTTCCCTTCGCTATTGGTTTGTTGATTTACAAGCTAAAACACGTAAGGTTTTGCCGGACGAGTATAGCCGCTTACATTTATAACTTTCTTAGTATCATATATATATATATATATATATGTGTGTGTGTGTGTGTGTGTGTGTGTGTGTAAGTGTAAAAATATATAGAAAATAGGAAAGAACTCGTTAGGTAAATAATCCAAAGTTCTTTAGTATTTTTGCTATTATTTTTAAAAAATAGTGCTCGATACAAAAGTAGAGCATAAATATAATTATATATATATATATATATATATATATATAAAAAAAAAATTTATATATCTATATATATAGTAAAGAAATATATATATATATATATATATATATATACATATATATATATATATATATATATATATATATATATATATATATATATATATATATATATATATATATATATATATATATATATATTGAGAGAGAGTCTGGGCATCAGGTTTATCCATATGCGTAATTAGATTTTTTTTTTAACGAAACCGCCTAACATTCACTTCCTTAGACACACTAACGAAGATCGTAAAGCGTGGGATTTGACACCCGACGGGTCGACAGTCAAGTCGGAGGTAGCACCTGCAAAAGTCCGCTGAAGGAATTTATTAATATGACACAAGAAAGAAAAAGCATTGAGTCGCATTTAATGCCGACCACGCCTTCTCTTTTGTGGCTACACTTGTGCATTTACACAAGACATATTTCAGCGAATTACGTCTTGTCTACCTACACATTTATTCTAAGGCTATTTATATCGACATATCTCGTCATTACAGTCAGGTCAACTGTTCCTTTCTACCTCATTCTGTTCATATCTCTCTACCTATCTATCTATCTATCTGTTCATATTATATCTGTCCATATCTATCTCATTCTGTTCATATCTATCTGTCTATCTGTCAGTCTAGCTATCTATCTATCTGTTCATATTATATCTGTCCATATCTATCTCATTCTGTTCATATCTATCTATCTGTCTGTCTATCTATCTATCTGTTCACATTATATCTGTCCATATCTATCTCATTCTGTTTATATCTGTCTATCTATCTACCTATCTATCTATCTATCTATCTATCTATCTATCTATCTATCTGTCTGTCTGTTCATATTATCTCTGTTCATATGTATCTCATTCTGTTCATATCTATCTGTCTATCTATCTATCTATCTGTCTGTCTGTCTGTCTGTCTGTTCATATTATATCTGTCCATATCTATCTCATTCTGTTCATATCTATCTATCTATCTATCTGTCTGTCTATCTATCTATCTGTTCACATTATATCTGTCCATATCTATCTCATTCTGTTCATATCTATCTATCTATCTATCTGTCTGTCTATCTATCTATCTGTTCACATTATATCTGTCCATATCTATCTCATTCTGTTTATATCTATCTATCTATCTATCTATCTTTCTCTCTATCTATCTGTCTGTCTGTTCATATTATATCTGTTCATATCTATCTAATTCTGTTCATATCTATCTATCTGTCTGTCTGTCTGTCTGTCTGTCTGTTCATATTATATCTGTTCATATCTCTCTCATTCTGTTCATATCTATCTATCTATCTATCTATCTATCTGTCTGTCTGTCTGTTCATATTATATCTGTTCATATCTCTCTCATTCTGTTCATATCTATCTATCTATCTATCTATCTATCTGTCTGTCTGTTCATATTATATCTGTTCATATCTCTCTCATTCTGTTCATATCTATCTATCTATCTATCTATCTATCTATCTGTCTGTCTGTCTATCTGTTCATATTATATCTGTTCATATCTCTCTCATTCTGTTCATATCTATCTATCTATCTATCTATCTGTCTGTCTGTTCATATTATATCTGTTCATATCTCTCTCATTCTGTTCAAATCTATCTATCTATCTATCTATCTATCTATCTCATTCTGTTCGTATCCATCTGTCTGTCTATTTGAAGATATTTTCTATTATACGTTATTTTTATAGATACAAATATTTAAAATAACTGTCAGCCTTTGTCCATTTCGTAGTGTGTGACATCTGTCTATCTATCTGTTTATCTATCTATCTCATTCTGTTTATATTTATGTATCTCTCTATCTCATTCTCTTCCTATCTATCTATCTATCTATCAATCTCTGTTCGTATCTATCTATCTATCTCATTCTGTTCATATCTATCTTATATTGTAATAATCTTTTATAATGCACTGTTTTATAATAACGTATAGCAATGAAATATTTCAAAATAATTGTCGGACATTTTCCATTTCGTAGTGTGTGACTATCTATCTATCTGTTCATATCTAAGTCTGTTCATATTTGTCTGTCTATCTATCTATCTATCTCATTCTGTTCATATCTATCTCAGTCTGTTCATATCTATCTATCTATCTATCTATCTGTCTGTCTGTCTGTCTGTTCATATTATATCTGTTCATATCTATCTCATCCTGTTCATAGCTTATCTTTCTATTCATATCTAAGTCTGTTCATATTTGTCTGTCTATCTATCTCATTCTGTTCGTATCTATGTATCTATCTCATTCTGTTAATATCTATCTATTTATCTATCTATCTATCTCAGTCTGTTCGTATCTATCTCATTCTCATCATATCTCTTATATTGTGCATCTCTTGTAGTTTGTTCATGTCTATCTTATATTGTCCATCTCTATCTCTCTTTCTGTCCTTCTCTCTCTATCTCTATCTCTGTCTGTCTGTCTCTCCCTCTCCCTCTCTCTCTCTCTCTCTCTCTGTGTTTATTTTGTACTCATAACTCTCTCATACCCATAGCTGAATGACTGTGAAAACACTAAAAACAGTGTTGAACCCGGTTAGTGCTTATTTGGAAGACAGTTTGAGAATACTGGGTAATGTAAGTGACCTCGGGCAATTCAGAAATATATTTCCGCTTTTAAATAGCCCCGAGGTGTTGATAACTCGTAAAAAAGAAAAAAGAAATTAAAAAAAATAACCTCATGTATTCAACTTTTACAGCAAGGCGATCCTGAGAAAACCTAGAAGTCCTACCAGGAATCATTATTGGCAAACCCAAACCTAACAACATAAGATATGCCGATGTCTATGTGTTGATAGTCGATACAGGAAAAAAAACCGCGGGAACCCTTACAGAAAAAAAAAACCGCGGGAACCTTTACAGAAAAAAAACCGCGGGAACCTTTACAGAAAAATGACAAAGGAAAATAACTTAACATCAATTGTAAGAAGACAATGTATGTTTTTTTTTCCCCGCAAGAAGATAAGCCCAGAATTCGAACTACAAATGGAAGATAGTACTACAAGTACTTTCATGGCAACTGCTCCGACGAGCTACTTTCGCTGGTTCCCAAAATGAATGAATTTAAGCGTGCTACTAGGTTGGCATCTCGTTCCCTCCATTTCATTCTCGAAACAGTTGAATATAGCCATCTCTTCTACTCCAACAGCTTCTTATCTTGCACCTCCCGTCAACAGAACTCCCTTTCTATCACTTGCTTCACTGATAACTATAATCTTCAAATATTCAAATGTAATGCCAATCGGCATCTTCTGATGCCTTGACTTTGATCCCTGTCCTTCTCTTTTTCCCAAACCCCACTCTTTACTCTTACTCTCACTCTCTGTAACCCCTTGCGTGCTAGTGGCACTCCTGCCTTGCTTGGGGTGATTGGCTTTAAAAATATCCATTAAAACTGCTGCTTTCTTAAGACATAAGATCTGACGCCTTCTTCTGTCGGGAAGGATGGGTTGACGCCCAGCAGGACTAGATCAGGACCTGTAAAAGATTTGATGAAAAGGGAGCGTGAGGCAACAGAGTGGGGAATGGTTGAACGAGGAACGACTTGAAGATGTCAAAATCAAACACGACTTCTCTATGAGGATGTAAGCGATCATGACTCTCCACAACTTCCTGTCCCTTGTAGCTCTTAATAAATTTTATCCTTCTGTTCTTTCTCCTAGATTCTATTTCGCCATTCATTGACTCAAGTTTATTTGTCATACAGTTTTCCTGTCTCTCTTGCCTGCAATCTCTCCTGTGAGTATCAGATTTTCCAAGCCCTCTTTCCTCAATATGTAACCTAGAAACTGTTTTCCTGTCTCTCTTGCCTTCAATCTCTCCTGTGAGTATCAGATTTTCCAAGCCCTCTTTCCTCATTATGTACCCTAGAAACTATTTTCCTGTCTCTCTTTCCTTCAATCTCTCCTGTGAGTATCAGATTTTCCAAGCACTTCTTCCTCAATATGTACCTTTGAAACTGTTTTCCTGTCTCTCTTGCCCTCAATCTCTCCTGTAAGTATCAGATTTTCCAAGCTCCCCTTCCTCAATATGTACCCTAGAATCTAGTACAGACGTTTAAATATCTGGAAAGTGTTTTAACAGAAGACGGAAAATATGACACCAAAATCCGAAGGCTCATTGTGATATCAAAAGTTGCTTTCTAAAAGCTAAGCAAAGTATTAAGAAACAAGAAAATTTCGTGATAAATAAAGAAAAAAGTATGAACTGTTCTGTAATGTCAGTCCTTCTCTATGTCATCGAATAATAGAACAGAAATTGGGAGAGATTATGAAACCAAACCTAATAAGAGCGATAAAAGGATATCCCTGAACTGAAGTGGAACAATTACATTGAATCTATAGCTTCATCTACTGCAAGGAAAGTTCTCTGTGTCGCGCCAGAAGGTTTTTCTCGCCTGAGTCCATCCTTCAAATCTACAAATTAACCATTTGTCCTTGCAATGGAATACTGCTGCCATACATGGTCTGGTGCTTCCGCTGTTCATCTCGAGGTCCCTAACAAAATCCAGAGACGGATATGCAACGTGATTTGTACTGATCTTGGAGAATTTGACACTTACAGGGCATATTGAAGCCTAGAGGGACATAGGGAAACAGCGTTTCACCTACATGACGAGCGATGGTGAAACGACAGAACCTGACAAGAGCGACAAAGGATAGGAAGTTGTGGAGAGCCATGATTGTTCATGTCCAGTGGGAATAGAGGAAGAATGTCTCATATTTTCTGAATATCTTATTCTTCTTTCTCCGAAAAAGATTTTGGACTTTATCCATTAAAACTGGTGCTTTCTTCTATATAATAAATGCGAATGTCAGTGTGTCACACTATTTCAACTTTACTCCATGAGACCATAGCCCAACATCTGAGACCATTTGATGATGACAGAAAGTTAGAAGTTTAGAGAGGGCAAAGATCATCTTTAATAAGTTGAAAAATGATCCTGGAATAATACATATATGTATATATTTTAACTTAATTTCAATCCTTCACGAGCTTCCGATCCTTAGGTATGATTAATTAATTATGAACATATCTTTGTTGTTTAAAAGATCCAATGCAGCCCATAAGACATTTGCCACGTGAGAGAGGAGTTTCAGCTATGACAGTCCAAAGTGCAGGAAAAAAACATGAAAATGAAATCGTACGTGAAACGGGACAGGCACCTTGCTGCTACAGGACAGAAAGGTTAAAGAGGGCGAAGATCATCCTGAATAAATTTGAAAATGATCCGGGAATTATATATATATATATATATATATATATATATATATATATATATATATGTGTTTTTGAATTTTATTTCAATCCTTTATGAGCTTCCAATCCTTAGTTATGATTAATTAATGATGAACATGTCATTTTCGTTTATTATCGATTTCATTACGATTCTTCTGTTAATCTTGGAGAGTAATTATACATCCTTATTGCTCAAAGCAGAGTCCAATAGTGTTATAAAAACGTCGGATAATTCCAATGAGATATCTTTAATCTTTTCTAAGATACAACGGTTCAAAGATTAATCTGACAATTGGACAATTTTGCTGTTACATCCGGACTATATATATATATATATAATTATTTATTTAAAAATATGATTCCAAATCGCGACATAAGAAGTCCCATGTTTCAAAACAAGAGCCGAAAACTTCAATATAATTATTTAAATTAAATTGAGTTAAAGTAAGCTCTGTTCCATCTTCAAGCGAAATTTTTTTTTGGAATAACGTGTTTCTGAAATTTACGTGTTTTAAAAATTGAAATCAAAATTTCCATGGTAACAGCTAGGGCGAATTTTTTAAATTGGTTAGGCAGGTGTTGGGTGTTAATAATAAGTATCAGTATATAGTTACTTTCGTAGATGTCAAGTCAGGGAAAGGTGGGGGTGTCTCAATTTGAAACGGAAGATGTATTAACCCTAGTCTGGTTTGCGTGTCTATGGAGATTTATTTATTTTTTTATTTTATTTTTTTATGAAAGGGATTTTTGCATATAAAAAAACTGTCGTAACGTTTGTTTTTTGACGACTTCATAAAGGGTTATCTTTTTTTAGAGTATATATATATATATACAGAGTGCGATGTGTAAAATGTCGCCATTTTATATTTTTAATTTCGCATGCGCGTTGTTTGTTTTTGGTTTTGTCGACTACACTGTATAGTAGGGTCAGTTAAACACCTTCTGTGCAAAAAGGTCCACCATGACGCAATTAACAACGCCAGAAATTTGGAAACGGCATGCTGTACTGCTTGGCATTCGCACCGGAAACGCCAACCCGAACATTTCATGGTGGTGCCAATCCCAGGACAACGCAGTGGATTCAGAAATAGTTGGAAGAATCTAATGGTGATTCCGAAGGTACGGCAGCTCGGAAATCTCACTCTTATCGTTCTGATCATAGGGTCCTCAGATACAACACGGAGGCCTACATCAAGTGCCTACCTCAAGTAACAGGACTCTGCACTATGCCACAAAATCAGGAGAACCCAGTCATGGTTATCAGACAATTTCTGCGATCACCCCTTACATCTATCTGGCCACCTGACTTCAACCCCACCTTGATTATTATTTTTGGGGTGCAGTTGAGCAAGAGACCAACAAAACTCCTTATAATACCAAAGATGAACTGAAAGCAAGGATATTTCACCAACTTAAACAAGGAGACCGTCCAGAAGAGTTGCGGGAGATTCCGAAATCGTCTGGAGGCCATGATTGAAGCCAATGGCGATTTTACTGAACAAATTTCCTCTTTAATATTTCAAGATATTTTTGTGTAATTTTGGTAATTATATCTGCTAAAATGAGATGTCAGTGTTATTTTCATTTTTGCGGCATTTAGACGACAGTTTATCCATCGCATTATATATATATATATATATATCCCTTGGGAAAGGTATGAATCCTCTTCCTCTCCTTCCAGCTATGGGTAAAATAGCAGGACAGACTGGGTTCTACAGCCTTGGATGGCAACTGGTCTAGGAGAAGGACAACTCTGAATTCAAAACCTGAGGGGGGTCGTTTGGGAACCTTGTTGCATTCGGTGCACCAGGTCTCTGTATTCGTCCCTTCAAAAAGTGTGGATGGTCCTGCACGAGGCCTTCACCACTATAATCAAATGTCATGTGCCGGTGTCGGGCTGTCGGTTTCCTGGAAACTGATCTGCTTGACCCTCATGCGTCGAATCTCGACGGGAGAGTCGATTATATATATATATATATATAAGTAATTAATTTTGGGGGTTTAGGCTTATAGCAATGAGTCTAGAATAATCCTCAACAGAATGCAGAAAGCACTGGACGGCCGTTTCGTCTTATCTGGGACTCATCAGCTTTTTGACCCTTAGCCGCTCCATCGCAGAGCATAAGCTGATGAGTCCCAAATATAGGACGAAACGGCCGTCCAGTGCTTTCTGCATTCTGTTGAGGATTCTTCTAGACTCATTGCTATAAGCTAAACCCCAAAATTAATTACTTGTATAC